TGTACACATACACATTTAATAAGATACTATTTTTCCTTACCAGACCAGCGTTAAGTGAAGATTCTTGATAATGTTTGAGGTTTCTGAAGAGATAGAGAAACACACACAAACACACACACACACAGAGAAGTAAAGGGAAACCATCTTCCTGGAGGGTAAGTTGACGACGTATAACAAAATCATAAATATGTATATATCAATCCACCTTTGATTCAGAAAGTACACTTCCAGGATTTATCCTAAGAAAATAATCAGGGAAGTTGGGACTATATTATATTACATGTGTCTACAAGGATGTTCAGTATAGTACTTATAATTAAAAAACAGAAATAATTTATATGTATACTAAGGCTAGCTTATAAATTACTGAGTAACTATACACATTAAAATGAATGATCTGTATTTAAGCTGAAACCTTAAGAAATTCATGCTGTATTAAGTGATAAAAGCAGATTTATAACAGTTTGATTGCAGTTCTAAAATATGTCCTGACACATTTTTTTTATTCTGAAAAATTAAATAAAACAAAATTAGTGGTTATCTTTTGAGACACTTAAGTAAAATTTTCAAACAATGTTGGGGCAACGGCATGTTTTCTTTTTAAAAAGGTTCCTTTAAAGGATATTTTTTGCTTTTTGTTTTTCTGGTTACAAAATATATGTACCCATTAAAAAAAAATAGAACAAAAAGGAAGGAAAAAGGGAAATGTCTCAGAAATATATAAACAGAAGTAAAAGACTGAAGGCTATAATTAGCTTCTCCTGCTTAACATTAGGGCTTAACAGCCCACCCCTCCAGACACTCTTCTCTAGACTTCTCAACTTCTCTACTCCTCAGGCTCTTCCTCTTTCAGCATCCCTTAAATGTACCCTCTCTCTCCTAATCACACAAGCTCCACAAGCACCATCTCATCACCCATGACTGTATGTTCATTAACACCTACATAGTGATGATTTCTTCATCTCTATCTGAAGCCTAAACTTTTCTAAGTTTCAGAGTCACATTTCTGCATATGTGCTGCACACTCCTGAAAGTCAATACATTCACAAACTGTAACTACTTGCCTTTCCCATTGCCTACTCTAGGGCTGTATTTCCTACCTCTATTAAGGGTTTCCCCATTCTCTTGGTTTTCCCAACCTGGCAAACTCAGTCATCTTTGACCCCTTCCCCTAAAATAACTGGTGACCAAATCCTATAGCCTACTTCTAAAATTTCTCTCTAATTCATCCCTTCATTTCCATCTCACTGCCATTTTCAGAGTTAAGGTGGGCCCGGCCATTCCCGACCTGGACTATAAAGCCAGACAAACATTTCTTAAGTACCCACTGTATGCCTCACACAGTAAAAGTAGTTAAGAATATAAATATGAGAATGTTAATAAAGCAAATTACTACCATTAAGTATTTCTTGAGATAGAGAGATGGAGGAACATGTCACAATGTGACAAGCACTACAATCAGAGCAAAATCCACGAGATGTCAACCTCCTTCCTATCTGATCTAATCTTAACAGCACCGGGAATTTATCTTTCTAGAATACAAACCAGATCATGTTGTAAAACCCTTGATAATTCTATTCCACTGCCTACAGGATAAAGTCCAAATGCTTTAATACCATGCAAACACTTCACAGTCTGGTCCTAAGCTATCTAACAGCCTCATCCATAACTTTTCTTTCACTTCACACCCCACAATCCAATCATGTAAAACTAGTTGCTGCTCTTGACAACACGCTAAGCACTTTCACAACAGCGTCTGTGCCTCCTGCTTTTGCAGAGTGCTTCTTCCTTGTGCTCACCAGTGAAGTCCTGTCCAACTCTCCCATTAACTACCCTTCCTCTGTGAAATCTTCATTAACCTTCTCTGCCAGTGTAGTTTTCAGAAAAATCTAGTACAATACTTATCACTTGGTGTTGTAATTTGTTTTTCTTCCTCTCTGTCACCAGACTATGAGATTCCTATTTTTTTAACTGTAGTTGATTTACAATATTGGATTAATTTCAGGTGTATAGCAAAGTGATTCAGTTATACATATATTTTTCAGATTCTTTTCCATTATGTATTATTACAAAACACTGAATATAGTTCTTTGAGATACATAGTAAATCCTTGTTATCTGTTATATATGTACAGTAGTGTGTATCTGTTAATCCCATGCTCCAAATTTATCCCTCTCTCCTAGACTGTGAGATTCTTAAGGACAGAAACTACTTCTTGTTATCCTTAGTATCTTTGCCAAAGTCCAGCAAGATAGTAAATATACAAGAAATATTCGTTAAATGGATGATGGGCTGGAAATAGATTTGTAGAAAACCAAAATCATTTTTTTGGTTCTCTGTCTGGAATCTAGGAGTCTAAACAGTAAGGCTACTACCTACTACGATCCCCTACATACCAGGAAACCAAAAGAGCCCATATTTTTTTCTCCCCTCATCCTATTCATCTGATTATCTACCCATCCATCCCACAAAGAACAGTAGCATATAATACAGATAGAATCTCTGCCCTCCAGTGGGTTTGGGAGACTTAATACTCAATACTCAAGTAAGGAGAGACAATTAACAGATAAATATATAAAATAATTTCAGAAAGTGATCAATGCGAGGAATTAAAAAAAGGAGTTTGATGGGACAGGTAGTGGCTGGGGGAGAAATGTGCTATTTTAAAGAAGTCACAGAAGATTTTTCTGAGACAGTAACATAAAAGCTGAGGCCTGAAGGATGAGAAACAACTAGCTAAACAAAATTCTGAAGAAAAAATTCTGCAGGCAGAGGCAACTGTAAGCATAAAAGCTCTGAAGCAGAAATGCGCTTGATTATTTAAGGGATAGAAGAGATGGTGTGGCTAGAGAAAGAAATGAATTTGGAAAAGAAAGTACAGCCTTGTAAGTGATAGCCTCAGTGGAGGCCTATCTGAACCTGCCTTAAGTTTGGAATTTCCCAGTTTACATCTTCTGTTGTCTACACAGTCTTCTACTTCTAACATCATAGCAAGAAGACAATGGAATGGGGTATACAGCATATCCTATTGTCAGGAAGATGTCAAAAGTACCTTTTCTGGTTTTTGTTGATAAAAAGTATTCCTATATACAACACCCTAGCAATAATGGTCCCAGGGCTAATGAAAACCTGATCAGCACACAGGAATTAAACCACTTCAAAAGAAAGACAAATTCTTTTTACCGACTACAAAGCAAGTCAAAATGAGAACTATCGTAATTATCCAAAATTCATTAGAGGAAAAACACTTTATTACTCTGAAAATATATATGAGCTACAAATTTATCCTTTTAATAGATTCTTCCATTCATGTATAAACTTAAAGATCATATAATACAAATCTAGACTTAATTAAACAAAACAGACTTCCAGTTTTCATTGACCAGGGTTTTTTTTTTCACTTGATAGAAATTAAACAATTTTGTTTTGAGAATGCATGAATTTATAAGCATTATAAACTGCCTCTCAGCAGTAATTTTGTGGATGTTTATGTCATAAACTATTTAATTCAAGTACTACTATGATGTTAGAGCAAAGACAATCCGTTACTGAAATGAATATTCACAAAACTAGCTGTTAAAGCAACTCAATAGTTGCTGGGAACTAAAGTAGTGTGAAATTGCACATCTTACTCCTGTTCTCAGTAGCATCTGCTGGCTTTGCTAACCCAAATATGAACACATCACTAAATATAAAGAGCCTTTCATTATCCTAGGCAGGTCTTAAAATTCCAGGCTGCCAGCCTACTAGTAGTAAGAATAAATTCATTCTCAGCATCCCTAAATTCACTTCTGCACCCAGTGATCTCTGGCTGGGACAGTGATGTTTCCCCAAATTTCTCTACGGTGGATCAGAGATAAGATTTTTTTCCATCTTCTTTTGCAAAATCATCAGAAGTCGCACAGGTAACCAACAATAATCATCTTTATGCTTCCATGCTCCCATTCCCTCGAAGGGCAGTCTCTTACAACGGGTCTCCATAATAATGCACAGCCTCAACAGCTGTGACAAATAAGAAAACACTCTCGCCTAAAAGGAGACCTCTTTACAATCCCCAAGTTGATGACCAACTTCATGTATTTATAAGAGCTTTCATTTTCTCTTCCCCATTCACCTAGGGAGGGCCACAAAAAGTTTATAGATACCCAATGTATCTTCTTCCCAATTTCACATCTTCAAACTGGATGATTTCATCATTATTCATCATTTCACTCATAAACTAACACTTGAAATAAAAAATCCTTTCCTTGGGGGATGGGGAATAGCTCAGTGGTAGAGTGCATGCTTGGCATGCACAAGGTCCTGGGCTCAATTCCCAGTACCTCCATTAAAAATATATTAATTAATTAATTAATTAAAGTAAAATATAAAATATTTTTAAAATCTTCTCCTTGGTTGGGAAATAAAATTACGTGAATTCTCTCTGAAGTTCCAGCTCAATCCTGATGCTGGGATTTCCAGGAAGAAATGCAAATATAGTATCAGTTGGAAAACCTCTCTAAACAGGATATATATCCTTGCAGATGAAGTGTGAGTATTACTGAGTAAGGAGTTACTCTTCCCTTACCAGGGGTAGAGTCTGAATTAAAACAAGCCCTTAACTCTTTCTCAAAGTGTGGTTCAAGGATCAACAGCATCTGGATCAACTGGCAGTTTGTTAAAAAGACAGAATATAGGACTCTATCTCTCAGACCACCTAAATCAGAATCTTCATTTTATTGATATCTATATGCAAATATCCCTGCAATATCAAATCTCACAATTGGTGGAAAATTAAAATCCTATCACACACAAAGAGAGATGAACCTTGGATAACAATTACACCTGAAAATGACTGTAGTCCTCTTCACAAATTCTTCAGTTTTTTTTTAACAATAGATCCTCCTTACAAGAATTTCTCATAAAATTATAACCTACTTATCTTGAAACACACCAAAGATTACTATCGCTGCTGCTGTGGGTGCTGTTAGCGTAAGCCAATAATATAACCAAGTGCTTACCTAATCTGAGCTCTCCGAAGTTCCCACACCCTATCTTCTTGCCAACCCTGAAGTTGGGTCCCACCATAAGAACCCCAGAGGATGTCGAGGAGCCAGGTGGTCGAGAACAGTGTGCACTCCTTTGAGCCATGGGTTTACTTGTCCGTTGTCTTTCATCCTTCTCCCTGCTAGGATGGTCCATGATCCTACAAGACACTGTGTCTGCACAAGTAGCCTTAATCTGTATACTTCTCTTCAATACAAAAGTATGTCCAGATAAACTGTAGTCAGAGTAAGGTAAAGAGTTCTTTTGGCACCATATTTATGTTTCTAATTTATCTCCAGGAGATGAAAAACCATTGATTAGTTCTTGTAGGACACGTAGTCTGTAGGTCTCAAGCATAGGAAGGTATTTGGTAACCTAGGTAAAAAAAATCAAGAAAGCAGACAGTTAAAAATTATATTTTAAAACAAATTAAGAAAGTTACCACTAATTAGAATGGACCCTATCCAAAAATGAGCAAGGTGGATAGTTTTCTGAAATGGATTTTGGTTTCATACCCTCCAACAGTTTAGCCATCTGGACTAGTTATTCATCTGGTAACATAAGCTCAGTAGGCTGCAGACCATGGCCGCTAAGGGAACACACAACCCTTTAATATCATAAAATGCTTTCTTCTGGCTTTGTACATACGAACCAAAAGAAAGCTATTTGTCAGCTCTTCATCACTGGCTAACAAAGTTATGGTGGGGTTCAGCAAGTTAAATTAACTGAGGGCAATTAAAAGCTCTTCCCTTTAATTTGGACACAACCTATCAGAAATGAAGCTACTCACTATTCACTGTCCCCCTCCTCCACCCTCACCATTTATCAAGCACTAACAGCAATCACGAAATCCAAAACAAGTTACTGATGGACACAGACTACTTCTATGAAGGCCTTTCCAAAAACCTATTGGTACCAAGCAGTCTTAGACTAAAGCTTTGGGAAGCTTAACTTTTGGTCTAGTTTTCATTGTGGACTGAGAATACAATGACAGAGGGCCTGAAGCACATCCTTTGTACAACCCCAAAGTGAAAATAAATCTGAGAAACAATAAAAATATTAAACAAAACTATCCCTACCAGAATTCTCCAGTGTCTCAATTCAGGACTAAGCCCAAGACAAAAGTTTACAATGAGGTAGTTTCGATGCCATTTCTAATAATCTAGGTAAGTGTCCTTAAAAAAAAAAATTGTCACCAATCACAGACTAAACATATACTTATGTTTCACTTTTATTAAAGATTTTCCTTAAGTTTTTAAGGAAAAAGACTATTAGAACTGCTTGGTTATTATTGTATATATACAATAAAGCAAAAATGTCTAGACTATAAGTTTCTTACAGACACCTTTAATTCCCTACTACAGGGACAGACACAAATCTGTGCGTTGAATGTACAAGCAGGCACGTGATCCAAGGATATAATCTGTTTACTTCATTACAGTAGTTAAATTAAACTGTTTACTTTCATCTTTTCTGTTCTCTTTGCATTATTAAACCTGCATAATGATTTTAGGCTTCCATTAAGTTAATTACCAATAAAATGCATTGATCTGAATTCAGGGAATAATACATCTACATTCATAATATATTCTGTTAAGGGAGAAGAATCAGGGTGATAAGAATAAGTCAGTAATGACTGGATTTCTTACAGGAAGAACATTATAAATTTGTATCTTTTCTCTCACTCTTTCTCTCATCTCCAATTTTATGTAATATCCTTCAATTATCTTTGTTGTTTACTCAATGTCCCTCAAACAGTATTGGTAAAGAAAGGGAAATAAAGTCTAAGATGTTTTATTTAGACAGTTCCATCTTAACAAGTGGTTGTGTGTCTATATATGAGAAATTTTCAGGCTATACTTTCTTCCCTTACATTACTTTTTTTGGAGGACAGGTAAAGTGTGTCTCAGCCTAGTCAGACAATTTTGAGCACTCAACTAACTCCCAAAGCCTCATAAATTATTAATAGTACAACAGTGTCATTTAGAAGACTTGGAAAACTACTGTCTTGTCTGTTGCTCTTCATATTTTTCATTTGTGTTCACTGTTTTTCTAACAGATGGAGGTTATTTTTATAATGCTTGCCATTAGCTTCCTCCAGTGCACTTAGACTCACGTAATATTAGGTGGAAGGATCACTCACAGCCCTCATATCCATGTAAACTTGCATATACGTATTCAAAAAACATGCAGTAGCACTTGCCAGGTTAGAAACCTGCAGAAAGCCAATGATCCCACTTAGCAGGGAAAGTGTTTTTTAAACATCTGCTTATAGGTCAGAACAATCACTTTACCTCCCACGAACATGGGAAAAACTCACATTTATTACATCAATTTTCTCATCTACTCATGAGACATTAGTACAGTCTAATCTATAATTAGGTAAGATGAATAATATTAAATACTGCGTTATGTGGCACCTCTCATTTAAGAAATCAAACTAATTGAATGATTAGTTTTTAAAATGCTATTTCTTTATCAGCATCCACTGCTGAAAACTATTTCCTACTTCTCAATTATAAACTCTTCAGCTTGCCATTTAAGTCCCTTCAGTATCAGCTACCTATTTAAATTCATCTCTTAAAAAAGTTACTACATAAAGCAAAGGAGCATCCACTCTTAGCTCTTACACCTACAATGACCTCTTAAATCTTCTGTCTTATTTAAGGCCTGATTCATATCCTACATTCTTTATGAAACCTTTTATAACCAATTCATCATTAATGCTTGGAGTACCACTGTCCTAGGTTTGGTAATGAATTTTAACACAAACCCCAAACGCCTATCCACAAAAGAAATTAAATTTTGAACATGGACTTTAAAAATGTTAAACTTTAAACTATGTTATCTTATTCAGAAAACCGAAAGACAAGCCACAAACTGAAAGAAATGTATTTGTAAAATACATATCTGATAAAGGATCTGTACTCAAACTACACCAAGAACTCTAGAACAACAATGAGGTATCACCTCACATCAGTCAGAATGGCCATTACTAAAAAGTCCACAAATGATAAATGCTGGAGAGGGTGTGGAGAAAAGGAAAGCCTCCTACACCGTTGGTAGGAATGTAGTGTGGTGCAGCCACTATGGAAAACAGTATGGAGATTCCTCATACAACTAAAAACAAACTTACCACATAACCCAGCAATCCCACTCCTGACCATGGATCCGTAAGGAATTCTAATTTGAAAAGATACATGCACCCCAATGTTCACAGCAGCACTATTTACAATAGCCAAGACATGGAAACAACCTAAATGTCCCATCGACAGATGACTAAATAAAGAAGTTGTGGTATATTTTTTACAATGGAATACTACTGAGCCATAAAAAAGAATAAAATAATGCCATTTGCAGCAACATGGATGGACCTAGAGATCCTCATTCTAAGTGAAGCCAGAAAGAGAAAGAAAAATACCAGATGTTAACACTCATATGTGGAATCTAAAAAAAAGAGAACATTAACAAACACATCTACAAAACAGAAACAGACTCACAGACATAGTAATCAATCTTATGGTTACCAAGGGAAACGGGATGGGAAGAGATAAATTTGGGAGTTTGAGATCTGCAAAAGTTAGCCACTATATATAAAAATAGATTTTAAAAAATTTCTTCTGTATAGCATACGGAACTATATTCAGTATCTTGTAATGATCTTTAATGAAAAAGAATATGAAAATGAATACATGTTTGTATATGCATGACTGGGACACTGTGCTGTACACCAGAAATGGACACATTGTAACTGACTGTACTTCAATAAAATAAACAAACAAACAAATAAATAAATTCTTTAAAAAAAAAAGAACTCTAGAACAAATCCAATTAAAAATGGGTAAATATTGGAAAAGACACCTGGCCAAAGAAGATATACAGATAGTAAATAAGCACACAAGAGTATGCTCAACATCATGTACCATTAGGAAACTATCAAAAAAAAAATTTTTGCCCCCTACCATGTATCAGATTATATTGATATGTACTCTAATATTTGATTATAAGCTTTTGAAGTTAGGGATCTTCTCATATTTTTTTTGTTTCTTGCATACAACTGGGACTTAATAAATACTGAATAATAATTATGATCTTGCATAATAGAAAATAGATTTCCATAACTAAATATTTATACAAAATAATAAAAGTAAAGAGAACTCTCTAACTAACCCTAAGAACTCCTAGAATTGACATAGCAAGAAGCCAGTATTACTTCATTTAAATTCATTAGTGTTAAGATAAAGGCTAGTTAGAATTTCCATTTCACAAGGATATTACATGATTTATTTACAGTTACTAGCAGATAACATATGAAAAAGTTAACTCAAGAACAAGATCAAATGGAACGCCCAAGGTAAACATTAAGTTATACTTTAACCTTATTTTTTGAAATGACGTCCAAGGACAGCAGTAAAAGATAAACTATATGCTTATATTATTTCTGCTCTTTATTTTAACAGTAGAAGGAGAAAGGAGAGAAATTATATAAATCCGTAAGTAGATATTTATTTTTCCGGTGAATAAACTATATGGCATCACTCATAACTCATTGAACATGCAAATGTTATAATGAACATATATTTGAATTTTTAGAGTCATACCAGCAAGTTCCTTAAGAAACCTAATTCCAGTGGTTTCTATCACTTTAGGCATTCAATTAGAGAAAAGGTATTTTCTTTTTACTGCTTTTTTTTTTTAACATTTTTCTTACTGAGTTATAGTCAT